ACCCAGCACGATTTTGGAATTTTTTTTCTCGAAATATACGTATAAAATCGCAAACGTTGGATGGCTAGGTATAGCTTCCAAATTAATGGTTTCAGCAGTTTTTTTTTTTTGCACCATCGTTCTTAAATCTTTGAAATACATTTATTTTAAAAAAAATTCCAAAAATGTGCTGGGTTGCTAAAGTGAATTTATGCAGTTATTTTTAGTTTATTGTTTACAATTATATTATTTTATATTGACTTAAATGTTAACTGTTATTTACCTATATATTTTTTTTATCAGGCGATTACGATTTTATTTTATGCATATAACCCATAAAAATCTTAAAAAGTTTTCCGTGTTTCGAAAACGGTTAAGAACCATTGATTTAAATAATAAAATTAATTTACTTGTCTTTAATATAAAATAGCGAATGTGTAAATATAAACTAATTAAAAAAATCTTTTTTATTTACATAGGTAGGTAATGTTAAATCAATAAATACATACTTATATCTGGTATTAAAACCTAGTTAACTAGAAAATCATAGCTTAAATATCAAAATATACTATACTCCGGTCCATGAGAGATCATTACCCTTTAGCACATGTAGACTGATGGCATTCCCCCCACTTTGTGCCATTCAGTGTATATCAAATACATTGGGATGCTCGGAATTCAACGTGTTTCGGTTGGGACAAAGTAATGATCTATTGTAGGCCGGAGTAGAGACATGTATAAAATATTATATTTCGATTATAGTTATAGTTAATGTATTATTTATCTAATATCTATTTTATAACACATACAACATACGTATGGGTAATTACAAACTATTTATATAAAAATCAATGTTTATTTGTCCTGTAAAGACCCAAAAACAACTGGACTGTTTTCAATAAATTTTGTATCAATGGTTTCCTTGAGATTCTGGGGATGTTAGTACCTTAACCCCTAGGTATAGAATAGATCACACAAATAATAAGTTTTAGCTCTCAAAAATTGATTTTTTTTTTAAATTTAAATAGTTGTCATTAGGTACAAAAAGTATATTACTATTATAGTTAAAATAAATATGTTATACAAACATTTTAACAAATATATTTTTTAAAAAAACATCTTTAAATCAAATATTTATGACTACAATATCAATGATTATTTTTATAATTTGTTTTCTTAATTTTGAACCGTGGACCATTCATTAAATCTGTCTTCAGTTTTTATGTTAAAATAATGTCAAAAATTGAAGTGGAAGTGAACAATTATTGAATTATTCATTGTAACTGTGTTTCTATTATATCATACAGCTGAGGCAAAACAAAAAAAAAAAATATAAAGATAGATTAAATTTAGCCCGGGCGAAGTCGGGTAATATAGCTAGTACCTATTCTATACAAATTGAAAAAAAAATTGTAGTTTATGCCCTTAGTTAGTTAATAGTTGAACTATTAAGATTTTTACTATGATAAAGCTTTATATCTATATTGAAGTTGGTATTATGTGTTTAAAAAAATGTCAACTCTTATTATGATTGTATGCCTGGATCAATTTTTTTTCTGTTTAGTATGTATATATTAAGGTTGGAAATTAAAATGCATTTTTTCTTAGTAGGTTTACCTATTGAAAAAAATTAAATCTGGATTTTCTTATTATAAATTATAATTATTTATATATTTCTGAAAAAAAGAATACTGGGCTTCACTGAGTATTCTCGTGTGGAGGCCCAGGGAAATAGGAATATTACTTTATACATTTTCTAAAATTAAATTTAAAAAAAAGTTAGGTCGGTACTTACCTACAAAATAATTGGTTTCTTTATAACAGTACCATTGTGGCAAAAGCTGATAAGTGCAAAAAAGTCGATTTCTTAAAAAAAAAATCATACCAGTTAAAAATTATTAAAAATGTCTTTCAAAATATTTTTAATAAAAAACGTTAAAATTAAAATTAAAATAAATTTTAAATGTCCGTCCTGCACAATTTAGTTTTTGCACTTATCAGCTTTTGCCACAATAAATAATTTATAGGTACAATAAATATTATTTGGTTTATTCTTATCACTAATGTTAGATGTATAGTGTACCTATTAAAATTATTTTTATTCAATTTAATATGAAGAATTATAATTTATTGGGTGTACTACCAAAAAGTCTGAGGTAAAAAAGACCTAGGAAAAAAAGTCCGAGGTATAAAAAGTCAATGGTGAAAAAATCCGATACATATATTTAGGCAAAAGGAAAAATACCATGTGATGAACAATTAAACTTCCAATTAGTATTAATATACATTTTATTGCAACTAAATTATTTGTACTATACCTAACAAAATTAATTTTTTTTTTAAATATTATTTTTTTGACGTAATAGTCATAATATTAGATAAATATTATAATTATTAAATTTTTAAATTATATTTTGTATTTTGATAGTTAATACTCAAATTAATTTATTATTTAGATTTCTTTTATATAGGTAATGAATAATGATACTAAGTACATAATTATTATAATCATTGATTTTTATTTAAAAATATATTATATTTTATGTCAAGATAGTTAATACTCAATTTAATTAAGAAATCATTATAACATAATAGGTATGTAATATTATTATGTATATTTTATTTGTATGTAATAATTATTTTGATTTTTTTTATACAGGTTAGTACATAATTATAATCATTGAATTTTTTTTTTAATAAATTATTTTAAATATTGTTATGTATATAATATACCGGATTTTTTTACTCCGGACGTTTTAGGCTTAGGACTTGTCTATGGCGGACTTATTATGCCTCGGACTCTTTTACCGCAATTCAATTTATTGATACCTATTGAAATTTATTAAAAGTCAAGATAACATTTTATTTATATTATAAATAAATATAATATACTATTGTCAAAGAAATTTTACATTATTATGAAAATAAAATAAAATAAAAAATTTAAATCAAAGTTTTTAAAATGTTGGTTATTTTGAAAATATGTTTTAAGTATCCAAATATTCCCATCCCTAGTACCTATTTTTAAAAATAGCAATATTAATATTTTATATTTGTATTAAGCTAGAGTAACATTAATTAAAAACTATATTATTCAAGCTTTTATTAAATTATTTATGGTTGTTTAAAAGCTAAGACGTAATAATCCAATTATTTGCTAAATAAACATTAAAAGTAGTATAAATATAAATTATTTGTTGTTTTAACATAATAAAAATAATGTGGTAAAATAAAATGGTTCTGCTTAGTTTGGGCTCACTTGACTGATGAAAAAAGTATTCATTGACAGGCGTTATAAAATAAAATAATTGAAAAACATTTTTTTTTCTTAACACTGTAGGATAAATACATTTATTGACTCATACATATATAATATGTTGTTTCTTAATATGACAGATATATTTTATGATTTAAAATACATACTATTGTAATAGCTTTAGAGAAATTCCAAACATAAAAATATTGTCTATACCTACATATTTTACAATTTACTCAACCAAAAGTGTAATTTATTTTAAATTATTTATGTTTAATAAATGGAGCTTAACTTTTCAAATAGTTTTAATTTATTACCTGTACATGCTAAAAAATGGCAATGTATTATGCTTTAAAATTTAAATAGAATTATCTTATATTGTATCGTTAAGAATACATTTTTCGGTAGGCGGAAAAAAAGCCCACGGAAAAAAAGCCCAAGGAAAAAAAGCCCAGAAAAAAAAGCCCACGGAAAAAAAGCCCAAAAAAAAAAATACACTGAGGAAAAAAAGCCCACGGAAAAAAAGCCCAAGGAAAAAAAGCCCAAAAATATAAATATAAATGTGAACAAAATATAATAATATATTAATAATACATTACTATACTATAACAGATAATAATCATAAATAATTGTATAAGAGGCATATATAGGTAATTTTATAAAAGAAAATATTAAAATTTCAAATATGACTTATACATAATATATAACTATTGAAAATTTTTAATGTATTTTAATTTAAGAAATATTATTAAGGTATATTATTATATAGAGGGTTTGATACTGCCATGAACTGATGAACCACCTGTCAATAAATTGCATTTTTATTACCCAACTATTGATAAGCACTTTTACATTTAATTTAATTTATATTGTTCGGTACTTACCAATATAATTTATATATATAACCAGTCAAAATGTTAAAATTTATCAATAACTGGGTAATATTGACACTCCATATAGTACTCCATTACTTGGTTATTGAGATACTATCTACACGTCCTACTAGTACAGTTTTATCCAGTTATACATTTGTTATATATTTTATACTTTTGTTTTACCAATTTTTGTGAATAAGGAGATTATCAAATCAAATAAAGGTGGTAACAAAGGTTTTTACAAAGGTTATGTATATGTTGTAAAGTATATTGGCGTATCAAAAATAACCTGGAGGTGTTCTCAGAGGTGTTCAATGAAATGTACTGGAGAATTATACACCGATCTCAAAATTTACAGTATCACACTATACCCAACAAAATATTTATATTATTATTGTATTATTACAGTTGAAAATTGACTGACCTGCTGTGACTATTACTATTATAATTAACAATTAATTATTATTTTCATTATAATATATAATAATATATTATTATATTTTGTTCACATTTATATTTGTATTTCTGGGCTTTTTTTCCGTGGGCTTTTTTTCCTCAGTGTATTTTTTTTTTTGGGCTTTTTTTCCGTGGGCTTTTTTTTCTGGGCTTTTTTTCCTTGGGCTTTTTTTCCGTGGGCTTTTTTCAGCAGCCATGTAAATTACAATAATTACTAAAATTGCAAAATTATATTTGATATTTAGTGGATTAATGAGATTTGCGTTTATATATTTAATATATTGGCTAAGTTAAAGCCCAGCCCTAAATAACAATGAAATTTAATTAAATGTGATATTTTAAAATGACACTTATTCTATTGGAAATTATTTTTTAAATTTTAAATTATTTAGTGATTTATATTATAAAGTAACATACTATATATCTAGTGCTAAATGGAATCAGTAAACGTCGAAACTAAAGAAGACATTTTGCAAAGACATAGAAATGAGAAAAAAGACATGCAATGTAAGATTCAATCAATGAAGAAGTCTGTAGCAAAAGGTGATCGGAAGAAGAAAAAAGAAGTTGCTGAGCAAACTGCAGAAATTGAAGCCAAATTAAAGCATAAACATTTAGAAGAACTAAATACATTTACAGAGGAAAACGAAGAACCATCTCTGATAAAAAATTTACAAGAAGTTAAAATCAATGATTCTGCTGTTAAAGTTAGTAGAGCTGAAAAACGGCGAACAAAAAAAATCACTCAATTGAAAGAAAGGCAAGCATTAATTGAAGAACATGATATTCAAAACATTGGCGGTACACGACATGTAGAAACTCAAACATTAGTTAAGAAACTCAAAAATCTAGGTTTTGTTATTTTTGATATTCCTTCAGACGGTAATTGCTTATATAGTGCTATTGTACATCAGCTTAAAGAAATATGTGGGCAAACTTTTACTGTACCTGAAATTCGACTTAAGACCTCTGACTTTATCAAATGCAACAAAGATGACTTTATACCTTATTTGAGCCATCCGGATACTGGAGAAATGTTAACTGATGAACAATTTATTGAATATTGCTTTCAAGTAGCAAATTCAGTTCAATGGGGTGGTGAAATTGAACTAAGAGCTTTATCCCACATATTCAAAATACCAATCAAAGTAATTCAAGCTGAAGGATCTGATATCACTATTGGAATAGAATATACTAATTGTAATAAAGCATTAATTTTAGTGTTTCATCGACATATGTATGGTTTAGGTGAACATTATAATTCGGTATGCTCAATGTAGTGTGTATTTATGCTGTATACTGAATCTAAAATTCTAATATTGATTAAATATATAATTTATCTTCAAATATATTGCATTTCTTAATCTTAAAAAATTATTCTTATTCTATGTATTGAAAAATAATTTGTTTATTATTCTTCACCTGATAAACACATTATTGTATAAATAAATTATCCGTATTTACTGCATAGTAAGTGAAGTTTTTGTGTATAAAAAAACATATCTTGTGTTAATATTGTATCTATTAAACATACACTTTGATAGCGTTATAGCTATGCATTACGTATTTTTTTCATATTGTTTTTAAGTCTGGACTGAAAGTAGGGCTGGCGGTATTTCAAATGTTAATACTGGTATATATGGTATTTTCGGTATACCTCCGAAAATATCTCCAGACCTAACTAAGAGTAGGTAAAAAATTATTAATTTATATTCATAAAAATGCAAGATAATTTTTGTGATTTTCTTAAGCCGATAATAATGATTAGATAATGGCAAGTGAAAAGATTTATTGATTTTGTAACTAAATACTATTTTAAAAGTATAATCCCAGTTGTCTTTGTCAGTATTTATGCTAGATATATAAACTTTTAAACTATTAATCACATAGCTATAAAATATGATACAACAATATCCTCACATAACATTTTTCAAGGAAATTGATTTAATAAATGATTTTTAGATATTGGATAAATATAACATTATTGTTTTTAATTTACATACTTATGATTAATTAATGTATTAAATTAAATATTGTATAAGTTCATTAATTATTAAATAGAAAACAGACTAGATCAAGTTTTAAAGAACCATTATTTAATGAAAATTAAAAACCTAGCTATATCTTATGTTGAAAATAAACATTGAATAAATTATAAATTATAAATAATTTGATTTACTTTTATGAATGTTATATTATTACTTTCAAACATTATCAATATAAATAAATAACACTAATAATATTTTGTTATGTAATACAATACCTAAAATTCTATAAAAAAAATTAAATTGAGTTTTGTTACTCCTAAATAAGTTTATTGTCCATTAAAAGAAAAAAACATTTTTTCAAATCATTGAATTAAGTAGGTATATACAGGTGTCCCGTGAGGATATACCTATTAGCCGTAGAGGGGGACTCCTCGCCAGGACAAAAACCGGTTTTTTGCCATTTTACTTATTAATTAAAAAAATTATTAAAAATCAGGAAATTAATGAAATTAAAATGTTGAAACGTCAATATTTTCAGAAAAATTAACTCTACAAAATGGCAATCTTCAATATTTTTTTAAATAAATAATTAAAAAAATAATTTTTTTTAACTTTTTTACCAAAACATAAAAAAAAAATAAAAAATTTGTTATTTGTAGTGCTTACCTCTGTGAGTCTTAATAAGAAAACAGAATTACGATATCTCTATTATTTCAGGAGATATCGCAATGAGTAAATCCTCACGGGACACCCTGTATATATTGAAATTATTTGTTAATATTTATTAAAAAGTTGTATTCCCAGGATTTTTTTTTTTCTAGTGTGAAATTCCTACTTACAATTTATTTTTTCAGATAACCAAGTTCTGTACATGGTGTAAATCCCTAAATTGATAATGATATATATTTAATATTGATAAAATTACTTACTACCTTAAAAACAGTAGGTATATTTTTTCTACTTGACAAACAATTTTTATCCATGCAATTAAAATAAAATGCACCATAACCCTAATCTGAAAATTATTATAAATTTGAATTCTCATTTATGTACCTAAATCGTAATTATTACTTATGAAATTTAATATTAAATAACTATTTACATTTTTGACGATAATTTGCTATTGGCTTATATTTTATACAAATTTGATACATTTTATTTTTCTATAAGTAAATATAATTATATTTTTAGTTGCAATTTTATTTATGTGTTTTAATGAACATGCAAATAAAGAGGTTTTATTGTCTAAAAAATATTTATAATAAGACATTTTTTAAATTATTTTTAACATTAATTAAAATAAATTTTTAATTAAGTATAAATTATTTACCTATTTTATATTTCTTTTATGCATCAGGTTTATGTTTCGTAATTTGTATAATCTATATTTAGTAATAATACACATTATAGTTAGGAAACAAAAGAAAATGATTTGTTTTTCAGCTTTTAGTGTTGATATTAGTGTCTTCTACAAGTTCTTTCCAAAATAACCTTCTACACTCAATCACTGGTGTTGTTTCAAAAAATAATTTTTCATATTATACACTACAAAATAGAGGATATATTTCTATTGTATTAATATCTAAGTAAGTAGTTTCTAACATATTATACTAGTATATTAAAATATATGTATTTCTTATAATTTAGAGAGGGTGACGCTGATTTATACATATCTCAGCCACATATTTCACATCATCCTACTTTTGATCCAGATACATATTGCCTTCAATCTACTACATGTGGAATTGATATTCTTCATATACCTAACTGGTAATTAAAAAATAAAACCTTGATTACTTACCATTATAATAATAGTTACAAAATAGAGTTGTAACTTGATATGTTTTTAGACTATTTTTCTTTACTTATTTGGATCTATCCGTTGACAAACAATGCCGGTTATATATATTTTTTAAAGTTTTCTCATGGGATGCCATGTTGATGTAAATCAGGCATGTCAAACTCAAAGTAATAACTGTTCCAAATATATTGAATAGTTTAGTTTATGGAGCAGCACATATAAATGTATTGAAAAAAACCATTACTAATTAGTAATTACTATACCTTAACGATACTATACAATACTTATTAAATTACAGTTATCAGAAGATAGTCGGAAAAGTAACATGATTATACCTCTCACTAACATGGTTGTGACACAAAATAAAAATTCTATGTTATTTTTTACTAATTTATTTTTTCAATTAATTGTTCATTAATATTGCTTTCCGCAGGCCATTAAAAGTGAGCTGAGGGCCACATGTGACTCGCAGGCCGCGTGTTTGACATGCTTGGTGTATAAATACATTTTTACCTCCAATGTTTTTTCTTTATTTTATAAACTAACTTATTTTTCATATACTTATATATTATTTATTTTTACTTCAAGATAAAAATTAGAAATTTATAAATTTTTTTCCCATTCCTAATTTACCTTATGAATATCACTTTTGATCGGAATATTCTTAATTTGGCCCTCTAAATATAAAGTAAGCAAAGAAAATGATAAACATTTAACTATTCCAGTTACATTAGTTTATATTTCTTCAATTTAATTTCTAAGTATAATATATTTATTTACCCTGTATACCCTGTATATACGTGCCTGCATACTAAATTATATAAACATACAATTTACTAACAAAAATTATACAATTTAAAAATAAGTTATTAACTGAGAGTAATCAGTGGCAGATTTAGGGAGGGGCTTAGGAGTTGAAGCACCTACCGTTCCGTTTATTCAACTTTTATTTTTATAACAAATTACTCAGATATCACGTAGAACTAAACATATTAATGTAGACTACAGATGTAGACTACCTACTTCCAAAAAAATTGGTTAATTTTGTTTTACCCTAAAGTTGTTCATGATAAGTAGGAACTCTATTATCAACATAGCCACCATAAAAAATCCTAGATCTGCCACTCAGAATAATAATGATGTATAATATACTCTATTTCTATTTTAATTTTTTCTATACATTATTGGTCTATATACCACTTCCAATTGTGTAAAAGGGCTAGCCCCGTTGAATTCTAAATAAATAAATAAAAATAAATAATAATTTACTTAAAAAGTTATTGTTTTAATATGTTACCAAATAATTTTTATAAAAAAAAAAAAATTTTAAAAAATACAATAAATTCATTAATTTAAATCTGAATGAACTTTGGTGATTTAATCAGGTACTTCATCGAAATGTTTAACTCAAATTATTAATTAATAGTTATTCATTAATCGTTTTTTTTTTTTTAACTCTAAACATATTTTTATATAGTTATTAGTTTATAATTTATCAAGATCTATTTAAATTAGTTTAACAATTCCAGAAATCAGAATCTGAAAAACAATTTAAATATGAATGCCCAGCATTATATAATAAATTATGTTTTATTAATTTAACAGAAATTAAATTTGATAAAACAATTTTTCAAATTTTCTTAAACAATATTATTTATTAAAAAAAAATGATAGATTTTAGGAATATTAAAAGATAACAAGTGAAATGTCACAATCTCATAGAATATCATAACCAAATATTTAGGATCAATGTATCCCACTCGCAAAAAAAAAAAGTTAAATGTTGTTTTTATTTCGTAAACATATTACTTTTATTGTCTTACCTAATTTTATGTAAGTCCCTTATTGAGTTAAATGTAAATTTAATAAACTTATTTTATGCACCATTAAATTTATTAAATGTATTATAGGTTTAAACGGCCTATATACCTTGGTATTTATGGTCACCCGTCTAATGAAATTGCCAGTTATACATTAGACATAATTCAAAATTTAGACCCTGGTGAAGAATTTAACTTGAATTTATTTGAATCCGAAGAAGAAAATGAAACTGTATCTATAAATAATGACAAAGCTAATGACAAAGATAATGACAAAGATAAATATGTAAGAAATTAAATTAAATATCTGTTGTACTATTTCTAAAAAATAACAATTGCAAATACTTCTTTAGAAAAATTACCGTGGTGTTTCAGATATTTTATTTGAGGTAAATAATAATAGAAATATATTTAAATAAAAAAAATTGTTTTTGTTAAGGAACAACTTCATATTCTTACTAAGTACCTAAGATAAATTATTTATTAACTTTTATCATTATTATTATTTAAGCAAATGGGTTTAACATTTGAACATATGTTATATTCCCTTGGAATAACACTTCAATTAATTTGGAATTTTATTGGTATCATCATAGAAGTATTATTTTTATGAACATTAATAATTGAACAAAATGCTCCCATATGAAAATCAAATGTTTCTGGATGTATTACATGAGGATGGCCTAGTAATATGTGCTAAGTAAATTTAACATTTATTTTATATTTTGTAATAAAATTATATTATTTTAATCATAAAATATTTGTGTAGGGGTCTTGGATTGGAAATTGTGTTATTGAACATAATTAAAGTGTTTTGTGACCCTGGTAACTTAGTATTAGTTGTTGGTTCGTCCGCTCCCGAAGAAGATTTTTGGATTACTCAATTAAAAAAAGATGGTATTAAACCATTACCAAAAATACTATCTGCTGACACTTCAATAGCTGAAAGGTAATTCAATATAATATACAGAATTATTTTGATCCATATATTCATATATCAGGCGAGTTACCTTGTTTTCCTGTTTCCTTAACTATAGGAAAATGAGAAAACATGGTGGCCACCTTGATAAATAAGAACATGTGTACATAATAATATACATTTATTTCATATCATTATATGTGCATTTTTTAGAGAAAAAATCTATCTTCAAGGTGGAGTATTGTTTGTATCATCCAGAATATTAGTTGTGGATCTTTTAAAGCATAGAATTCCCACACCTCAAATAACTGGATTTTTGGTTTGCAGAGCTCATAATATTTTAGAATCTTGTCAAGAAGCATTTGCTCTAAGATTGTACCGTATGGAAAACAAAGTAATATTTATGTATTAAACTAGTAATTCTGTAGTAAAATCACTACAGTTTTCTTAAAAGTTTTGAAAACTTTTAACTGTTATTACTGTAATATATTTCTTTTAATGTTTTGTTAATATTGGAGTAAATGGATCTATTATCATAGTAATAATATTTTCTATATTTTTTCCAATATTTTAATTTTGAAATTACATATATTTTGAAATTTGTAGTATTTTACATACTTATTACTAATTTTAAAATAAATGTGGTTGTGGTAGTCTCTTAATATATGTATGTGTTGTCTCCGTCTTACCAGTGCGTATGATAGCAAATTTACGCTCAGTAGAACACTTGTAGCTTTGTTAGTTTAAACATTAGAGTGAATGAAACTATTTAAACTATTATGAAACTTGATGGTAAGAACATTATCTGTGTTTGTACGTAGGCTTTTTACGATAATTCAGTTTTTAGGTAAGTTATGAACATTTTAAATTTACAGTATATTATATACACATAACTTGCTAAAAAATTGAACTAGGTATCATAAAAACCGACATACAAACACAGATAATATTCCTACCATCAAGTTTCATAATAGGTCAATTCACTCTAATTTTTAAATTAACTAAGCTACACGTATTCTGCTGAGCTTACATTTGCTATGTTAAGCACTTGTAAGATGGAGACAACAAAATACCAGTGTTACGTCCTCTTAATCTATCTATTATTATAATATTCCATATTTAATTCTAAGAAAGAAGCTAATTTAACTTAAGTTTATTCTTATTATCAAAACTCATGTAATACATTTAAATATAAAATAAATTTTATTATTTTTTTTTCAGAGTGGATTTATTAAAGCTTTTTCAGCCTCGTCACAAACATTTACTTATGGATTCACTAAAATTGAAAGAATTATGAAAACTTTGTTTGTTCCTAAATTATATCTCTGGCCCAGATTTCACCTTGCTGTTAAGTCAAGTTTAGATAAAATAAATGTAATATAACAAAGTTCTGTTTTAAATAATTATTTATAATTTAAATTTTAAATGTATTTATAATTTTAGCCTGAAGTTATAGAGTTACACGTAGAATTAACTCCTGCAATGAGAGAAATCCAAACATCTTTACTTGATCTTATAAATTATTCAATTAAAGAGCTAAAGAGACTTAATCCTTCGGTAAGCATATATATCTGTTTTGGTATCATTATTTTAAAAGTTTTTTGGCTTAATATTATTTTATGTATAGCTTGACACTGAAGAAATTACGGTTGAAAACAGTTTATCAAAATGTTTTCATAAAATATTACAAACCCAATTAAACCCAATTTGGCATAGATTAAGTAGCACAACTAAGCAATTGGTGTCTGACCTTAAACTTCTACGGAATTTAATGATGTATGTGAATAAATATATTTGTAATTCATACCTATTTATTTTTAACATGGCATGTTGTTATTGTTTGTTAATATTTACATATCAATTATTTATTTTTACAAAGTTGTTTAAATATGCGCATGTTTTAGATCCGTGACGTCTTTAGACTCCGTTCGATTTCAATCCATGTTATCAAATTATTATTCTGTAGATTACGTACATCGTAGTTCAGGATGGTTATTACTTGATGCTGCAGAAACATTATTTATTACAGCTAAACGTCGTTTGTTCAATTCTAAAAAAGGTATTTAAAAATGGTTAAATAACTAAATGTGATTAATGCATTTTATTTTATTTAGAAATTTGTCCGGAACATAATCCCAAATGGGGAGGATTGACTGAAATTTTAAAAGAAATTGGACAGAGTTCAAAAGATAATGGTGAAATTGTATTAGTACTTGTACAATCTGCAAAAACATGTTGTCAATTGAAAAATGTAATAGATTCAGTACATATTTTTAGCAAAATTATGGTTAATACAGTATACTTAATATTTTGAAAATGCTTTATGGTTTATATAGCTTCTTGTCAAAGGAGCGGACGATTTACTCTTAAATTTGTATAAAACGCATATTAAAGATAAGCCAATAATATCTACGCAAAAAAATACAACTAATGAAGAATCGGATGTATATGATAATTTAAACAATGAGGAATTGGATGAAGACAATTTTAATAATTGTTTCACTTTAACTCAAAGTAAAAATGAGGATGGATTGACATTCACTGAATGTGCTAATGAATCACGGGTATACAATAATATTTTTATTTGAATAATAATATGGCAAATGCCTAACTATTAATTATGATAATATGAATTGTTTAATGTATACTTTATAACAGGGGCTGCTAACATTTCCCTACAAATGAGCTATTATAAATATTTGGTGATCAGCCACTATTTATTTAGGTATATTTTTATTATTTCATGCAGCAGAATAATAAATTAGATAATAAATAATAGTATTCTTCTGTTATTATTTCTCTATCTTCACTAATAAATACTTTATTTTGTATATGAATAGTGTTTAAGTTTATGGATATGATTAATCGATATTGGTATAATTAATTTTTAATACAATTGTTCAATATTCCTCAAAAGATCGACCAGTGGTTCGTAATTGACTTGTTGGCGACCCCTGAGCCCTGTTCTATATCATTATACTGTATCATAGTTTTTTTTCTTTAATATAATATATTATTTTATACAAAATCAAACAGTTTATGGTTTATGATAAATATTCATAATAATAGTAATTATAATTTGTTATAGAATGAAACATTAAAAGAACCAATTATAGTATTACAACAGTATAAAAAAGATGGGGATTTTTTATCTCTTCCTCGAACACTAAGAGAGTTACAACCTAAGTATATTGTTATGTATGATGCAAATATGACAGCAGTTAGACAAATTGAAGTGATATTTATTTTTTTTAATACAATTACAATATCTGGAATATATAAATATTATTTTATAGGTATTTCAAAACTCTGATGCAAAATTGAAGTTGGTTGTTTATTTTTTAATATTTGGAGGATCCACTGAAGAACAAGCTTATTTAACCACTCTTAGAAGAGAAAAATTACTTTTTGATTTTCTAATCAAAGAAAAAGCGGTATATATTATATAATTAAATTACTAAATAATATTTCATTATTATTATTACCATTGTTGTATTCATATTACTGTTCTTTTAAATTTAGGTTATGGTTATACCCAAAGGTCAAGATGGTAAAGATGAAGATTGTCCTGAATTAACTCGTGATCTGGGTGTTCACCCTTCAGAAATGTTGGATGATGACGATAAAACATATAGACCAGAAGAAAAGATTGCTAAAAAAGAAATTCCTAAAGTTATTGTCGATATGCGGGAATTTAGGTCGGATTTGCCTGTGTTACTTCATCGCCGTGGCATTGACATAGAACCTGTCACTTTACAAGTTATTTACATTATTAAAATATTTATTTTTTTTGTGTATTATTTTAAATATTTGGTTTAGGTTGGTGATTACATTTTGACACCAGAAATGTGTGTAGAACGAAAAAGTATTGATGATTTAATTGGTTCTTTAAAATCTGGTAGATTATATCATCAAGCTTTAATGATGTGCCGTCATTATACAAAACCAATATTACTTATAGAGTTTGATCAAAATAAACCATTTGATTTACAGGTAATATTTTTGCTTCATCATGTTTATATAGGTACTTAAATTATTATTATTTTCATCTTAGACTGTTAGGTATAATTAAGGGGTGGAAATCCAAAACGTACTTTAGCCAAAATACTGATTTTTAACATTTTTATTTCCCTCTATATAGGTATACGTATAACATGGGTAAAAGTACGTTTTGGCTTAACATAAAAAAAAGTTTGTTGTGATATAGTTAATGATTTGTTCCTATTCTTTTAACATGGATAATAGTACGTTTTGGCGTAGAACTGGAAAAATTACATTTTGATTTTCTAAATATCATTTTTATTTATGGAAAAGGTTCATTTGGGATTAACCAGTCATTTTGAATCGCAGATTTGACCAGGAAATAGTACGTTTTGATCTTTTCTGACAACGCCGATGATGTATCGATATTTTTTCAATGAGAATTGATACCTAACTTGATTTTGCCAATTTTGGATTTCCACCCCTCAATTATTAATCCAAAATATTATTTAATATGCTTGTGTAATACATATATGAATAAAATTAAAATTATGTTTCAATTTGGTAAAACATTTTTTTATTTTAATGTTATCTATATTCTATACTCTGTTCTACATAAAAAAAATTACTCGTTCGGCCGACTATGTACATATTGCATTTTCTTACTACATGACAGGCAGTGTCAGCTGGGGCCCCTCCGTTTTTTTTTAGAGTCTCGTACATTTTTTTATTTGCTTGTGCCTGTTCTATATAGGGAGTAAGGACCCCGTAAAGTATATTTTATCGATATATTTAACCGTACTCAATTTTTCTTTAGAGGGCCCAGATGCTTGCCTATTATAGTGTGAGCAGGGCACTATAATAGTACAAGTGTCAAGTAATAAGTACGAGGAGGTTTTTTTGGATTAATTGCGCTACTGCAAGTTATGTTAGGTTTTATATCTCTCCTTAAAAACAATGGGCTCAGACGAGTCCATGAGGGCCCCCAAACTGATCCATGGGCCTTTTATGTGCCAGGCCGACACTGATGACATGCTTACATAATACAGATGACTACCATCCAACAAAAACTGGTTTGCCTCCTGGGTTGCTTCTTATGTTGAACAGAGTATAGAAAGGTAATATATTTTATAAAAACATATTAAATACTTATACAGAGAAAAAATTCAACGAGTTTTGAATGCCTATGAAAATTCATTGTAAATTCAAATTTTTAATGTTATAAATTTTAGTAATTATATATATTTATATATATTATGTATAAATAAAATAAAGTTAGTATGTAAATAATAATCAAATTCAAATAAATATTTAAATTTCAGGGAAGATTTTATCTTAGCAAAGATATGACAACTAGCCATCGAAATGACATAACTTCTAAGTTACAATTGTTAACTTTGCATTTTCCAAAACTTCGATTAGTATGGTCTCCTAGTCCTTTTGCTACATCAGAACTATTTCAAGAACTTAAGGTATTTTAGATTAAAAATTAAATAGTTCTAATTTTAATTAAATGTATATTAATATATGATGTTCTCACTAGAGCTAACTAATTTAAAATATTATGTCAGCCATTAAATCAGAATAAGAGATCTTTAGCTTCATATATCAACTGTTATACGTCATTACTTACCTTAATTGTTTTTGTATAGGAAGGTAAAAGCCAGCCAGTATCATCAGAAGCTGCTGCAGTTGGTTTAGAGGCAGGACAAAATTTTGATGAGGAAATATACAATGCCATTATTAAGGTTTATAATAATTATAATTACCTAATATTATATAAGTGTGAACTATATATTATTGTGATATTGGTTGTAATTTCAAATATATTGTTAATTTTTTTATTTTTAAGAATCGACTCTTTTATAGGTTCTACATATTTAATTTAATATACATATTATTAATGGTAGAAATTCTAAATTATGTATCCTCAAAAATAACTTTCAAGGGAAACTAAATAATTAATAGTTTTATTATTTTTACAGTATTCTTTTAGTAACAAAAATTTTTATTAGCATAGCAATGTAAAATAATTATTTGAGGGTTTGAATACTTATGCCAATATTATAATCACCGAAAACCTCAAATTTCTTATAGGTGGTATGGGTAAATCACTTGTCTTTTCTATTTATCTTATAAAATTATTTAACTGGTAATGTGAAAAATAAGTTATTGTTCCCTTGAATGAATTTATTTGCTTGGATATTTGATTTGAAATATTACTTTAAATCGATAAAAATAAGTATTTTATTACGATTTATAAATAAATAATATTATTATTAAAAATATATTTTTTAGGATTTTATGAGTAAACTGCCAGGTGTAACTACTCAAAATATACTTAACATATTGAATAAAGGACAGTCGCTTACACATATGTTGAAAATGCCATTACAAGAATTAAAAACAATTGCTGGTAACTCTCAAGATGCAGAGACTTTGTACAATTCACTTCATAAAAAAGTAAAACCAGCCAATGAACAATCTACTAGTAAACCTCAATCGAATAAAGGTTTTCGAGCAACAATGAATAAAAAACGATTTAAACATACAAATCTAAAATCAAAATAGTCCAAAGAATATGTAATTTTTATGCTAACAATTAATCTATTCCAATATTAATAAAAAACATTCAATTATCGTGTATTATCATAAAATACATTCATTTATATAAAAAAAATTTATTGTATTTTTTTTTTTTTTTTTAATAGCTTACTAAATAGTGTCATGTTTTGTATTATTTGTAAATTTTGTTAAAATTACATATCTTATATTTTTTTATCAACCATGTTACTAAATTAAATGTAATTGATGAACTTGATTTTTTCTGTACTTAAATTTGTTTGGTAGTATAGGGCGGGCCAATGTTTTCCCATACACGCCTAATGCAAGATAACACTGGACCACCATGTTTAATATTATAATGTTAATGTTCTTATTTTACTTATGTTCACTAAATCACAGCAACTATATTATATTTAAGATAGTCCGTAGAATGTTTAATTATTTTCTAAATATGATTGATCTATATATCCGATAAGCTCTGCATTGTTAATTTAATTTAAAATGTTTATTTCTACATACCTCAAAATAAATGATTCGAGCTTATTGGAATAGAGAGTTACATAATCTATTTAAAATAAATTTAAGTTAGAGCGATGTACTTGTGAACATAATACTATAGCTTGTGAATTTGTAAGAATATATTATAATATTATGTGTACTTAAAAAAAATACATTTTTACAAGCTGAAGTGTGTAAGTGTATTGCATTTAAATATTCAATCACATCAAAACATCGTACAGGATAATTTATAAAAGATGTTTAACAAATATTCAAATAGATACATACAACTTCCTATTCTTTATTCAAATCTTTACCAATAGTTTTATCCAAAGGTATAAATTTGTTTTACTACCTGTGGAGATTATAAAATCGAATAAAGGTGATGGAATGGTGGACATTCCCCCCCCCCCGTTTTTTTATTTTTAATTATTTACCTTCAAATAAAAAACACATATTTTTTAGCTTTTGTGTTTTGTACATATTTTTTTTTATTTTTGTAAGAACTGTACGTTAACTAAAAAATCTTTAATCTTAATTTCAATAAAAAATAATAAATAATATTTAAAGCAAGTTAAGTAAAAATATAATTTTAAATAAAAGTAAAATAGTAGTAAACTAATATTGAATAATACTGTATAATTTTTATGTCGACATTTTTAGCCTATTGTGTTAGTTATTAGTTATTAGTTATATTTTGTTTATACAATCTTTTTTTATTTTTATGTCGGATCTTTTGGCCGGCTGTATTGCACTATATTATTTTATTTAGACAATTTTTTATTTAAAATTATATTTTTACTTAACTTGTTTTAAATATTATTTATTATTTTTTTATTGAAATTAAGTTTAAAGAGTTTTTAGTTAACGTACAGTTTTTATAAAAAAAAAAAAAAAGAAATATGTGTTAAAAATAATAATTTTATATTCGAAGGTAAATAATTAAAAATAAAAAACAAAAAAACGGGGGAAAATGTCTGCGTCCAAACATTTGTCGGGTGGGAAATGTCCTACTACGCCGAAAACAGCCGGAGGGGAAATGTCCGGATACCAAGGTGGTGACAAGTTATATCACAATAAGGCTATACCTATCTGTTATAAAGTATAATATTGGGAAATTTAAAATGACTTGGAAGTGTTCTAAGAAATGTACCGGAAAATTATACACCAATTTTGAAAAACAAGGCCCCGAATTAAAAACAGAGCATACAGTAATCCTGTATTATTACACTATAAGTCTATAGGTAGGTACCAATACAATTTTTTTTTGGAAAATGTAAGGCCTAGGAAATGGAATTTGATGTTATGACTAATGAGGTTTGGCCAGCTGGTTGTTGAGGGTTAGTAGATTCAGGTCTAAATTGTTTTTATGTACGTGCCTGACCATTCAAAGTCGTGATATATTTAATATTTATTTTATTCTGTCTATACTCTATACCAGTATACCACATCGCGAGTCAAGGCGGGTTTCCACTATACACGTTCGTGAATACGTGCATACAAATCCTTTGCCGTGATTGGTTGGTTAGGTTAAGCTACCACACGATTAACCACGATACCGTGTTGTTTTACATAACTGAACTTTTTTCGTGTACACGGCAATCGTGTATAGTGGAAAGTGGAAACCCCCCTTCATTGGTGGAGTTTATTAATTTACGCGATAATAGGACGTTAGGTTACGATGGTACAACAGAATGGTTATCATCTTTAATCGTGGTTAGTACCAACATGCCCGGCCGCATCTTGAGCATTTCAAATAGTTTTTAGAAGGCGATTGTGTCGCGGGGACCCATAGAGTAATAAAACTATAGAGGCGGCATTAGGCAGATATTATGATTATCAGATCGAAGCAAAATTGAACGCCATTGTACCCCTCTTACAACTCTAGTGAACACTAGATGGCGTTTTCGACCATGAAATTAAATGGATAATCGACATTATATTTTATTCCTCTACTAAAATGGTGATAACTGATAATAAATGATTAATGTTTGATTAGCATTAAAAATTATAATTTTAATTATAATTATAATTTTTAACTGTATTTTAAATTTTGTAAAATTGTAAGTAACGCGAGTCTAGCCTAAAATCATCATGGTCAGCTGTATTTTGTGCGCTCGGACTCAGAAACAAAAAAATGAAAACGAAAATATTACATTTCACCATAATATTATTATATATTTGTATATTATAATAAGAACCACTAGTATATATATTTTTTTGTAAAATTTGTTCTTCTTATTTTAAAATTAATTTTTATTATTCCTAATAAAATAATGTGTTAGTATATTTACAACAATTTATTTTTCATATGATGGTTGCACTGCAAGTACCCCGTTTTCGCTTCACTTTTAGAATGATATGGCCACCCCTTGCGGGGACCGCAATGCTTATCGTAATATCGCTTACGATTACGACATTCTCATTGAATTTTGTTTGTTGTTTTGTTTACCAATTCATATTTCGACTTTCGAGATAGCGGTGTTCGTAATTTGTTAGGAATTTTTATTTTTATGTTATGTCAATTAATTTTTTCATTTTATGTCAACACTCAACTTACACTAATTGATAAACAATTCTACATTTTTTTTTATCGAAAATCGTTTGTTGACAAGTTTATAATTTATAATTAGTTTATACTGGTTAATTGTCTATAGTCCTGTAGAATATAGTAATGTGACTTGATTTTATGCTATATTTATGTTACATTGAATTTAAATACTTATAAAAATGACCTGGGGTTTTGTCACTTGTGGCCCTAACGAGGCTTTGGTTATATCAGGTAATTTAAATGTATTTCAAGTAATTGTATTTTTTTTTTGTTTGTTCCTTTATTGATATTTTATTTTATACACCATACTAGTTTTAACTTTGTTTTACACTCTCAACGCTGCCCGTGACTTCAGAAAAAACTTTAACTATAACCATCTATAGCTTTAAATTTAGACTTAATTGTCAATGGCCTATCTAAGTTTCAGTTTATTAAAAAAAATCTGATTTAACTAAAGCTTATATAAAGTATACGTTTTTGACGCTTTAACACGTCACCGGCCTGTTGGAATAATTTCTGTTGACGCGCATATGCATCAGCGGCGTTGAAAGTGTTAAGTACATTAATTTTTTTTTAATATACCTATATGAACTTACATACAATAAATCTTATTACTCTTTATAAATCACTATTTTAAACTTCTTTGAGAACTATTGGGGATAATAAGTAGGTAGATCAGAAATGAATGGATGTATGTGGTTGTATTCAGGGGCGTGGAAAAAAGGGTAATCGAGAGGTGGCTGCCTCTGAGTTTTTTAAGGGGTGCAGTGCTGGGTGGGTAATGACCAATAGGTGATAATTTACTATTAACTATAGTTTTTAGTAAGAACTGCAACAAACAGGTAGTTACAAATATTACAGTGAACGCGCCTTTATTATTAATTGGCACCACAGGATAAGTGAAATACTTGACTAGCCTTGGAAAAATTTCAAGTTCGCCACAACATTATTGTATAGACTTCTGTTGAAGTGTTTATCTTGTAATTTTGCTATGGTTCTGCTGTGAACTTTTGAGTATGGAAATAATGATAGGAAACATAAAAAGTTGCATTTTGTGATAGAACCAGGACTTACCATTGGAAATTTAAATTATTATTTTAACAATTTTTACCAATTTACATTTGAATTTTTTTGTTTTTTTTTTTTTGTCAAGGATTTTGTTATGGTAAACCTAATTTGGTACCTGGTGGAAGAGCATTTGTTTGGCCCGTTATACAATATTGTCAGAGGTAAATATACTATTGACACATATGTTAATATAAATTTATCTTCATTTTGTCATTTACTCATGTCTTGTAGGTCGAATTTTGGATGAAAAGTATGAATGTAATTACTAATTAGGTACCTTTACAATAATTATATAATTTAATAACTAATAGTAAATTAAGTAATCAAGATTTTTACTAAAAATAAATACCTAATAATAACTGTAAATAGCTGAGTCTAATAATCTATACATAATGTTTGGTTACTATGGGAAACGGACAAAATCTGCCAATTCATTTATACTCAATTTAAATAGTAAACACCCATTATATGTAAATTTTTAAATTTAATAACTTATTTTTTTTACTGATTTATAGTGATACTACTTTTACATCTTAATGTTTTTTATTCAACACATACACATATTATATCACTTGAGTTTACAACCTTTTTTGTTGTGTATTAAAATAATATTCTGTTAGAAGTTTCTGATTTTCCTTTATTTAATTAAATAGATTCTATTATAATTAATAAATTAATATTTAGTTTACTACTAAGTTTCACAGTATTACGATTTGGATAAGGTATAGCATAAACCTTCATCTACTTTTTTTTATTCTAATCTTATCTTTGAATTGGAATTTGGCATTAAAAAATATTAACATTAGAAATACAAACACAATATAATGTATTATTAATTACAGCCAGTAAATAAGTAGAGTATTCTTGTTGACAGGATAACATATTATTATGTATTATGTATACAGTATACATATTATAGAAATTTAAACTAAAAAATAAATCAATGGGGAGATTTTATCCTAGATCCGTTTATTATACATAATTATAATATTTCATACATAGTTTTATTAATTACCTATTATTTTAAAATTATTTTATGTTGACTAAAATATAATTGTAATGGGCAATGGCATTACATATGCCTTGATTTATCATATTTATTATTAAAATATAGATACTTATTGAATATATTTCATAAAGACTGTGTTATTTGTAAATATTATTTTTAATTAAATCATTGCTAATATACAAGTCCTAATTTAGACAATGGACAAATATGAGAATATTTTAGTTAATACTTAAATATATAGTGATTTTTTATGTATGCGCCCAATTTTTAATTTGATATATTGACATGTTATACATTTATTATTGTTACCTGCTGTTTGCATTATAAATTAATTTTAAATATTTTTAGAATTTGTTTGAACACTATGACAATACAAGTTGATAGTCCCAAGGTATATACTATCCAAGGTGTGCCATTATCAGTTACTGGTATAGCTCAGGTATAGTACCTTATTGTAAATTGTAATAATTATCTATATATTTTACAAATTAAAAATTCAAACTGTTTCGATTTTATTAAGAAGATTAGAAGTGATCAATAAAATAGAAGTATTATGTAGAACATTGTTTTAGTATGTTCATTTTTGACTAAACTAAAAGTATTACAAAAATTAAATACCAAACCTTATACACACACAATAAATAAGCAGTATACTGGTAATAAATGATATTGTAAATTATCTTAAACTGACCAATTAGTTGTTATTTGTTTGAATCCTGGCAAGAAACCATATTCTGTAATTAATGGATATTGATAAAAGAATTTCACATAATATAGGAACAATAGTTATTTGGTATGGAGAAAAATACCTTAATAATATTAAAGTAAATATAAAAACAACAATTCTTGATATAATATTTTGTATTTTCTAATTTACGTTAAAATCTTGTACCTCAAACTAAAAGTTCATAAAATGGACTCTACAAGAGGAAAACACCATAAAATGGTAAATAAAAGTATTACCTTAAAGTATGTACTTGGAATGCATTATCTTATAGCATACAAAAAGACAAAAGTAATGTACTTTGTATTGAAATCTGGGCCCTTTTTATGAGTTATGATCAAAGAACGGACTTTTAGATTCTTAAAAGTTTAAAATATTAGAAAACCTTAAATATACTTTCATAATCCAAAAATTGGTAAAATATCCTTTATTTTAGCTTCAAAATTTAAATTAATTTCAAAATAAGTTTGTAATATTTATATTTATCACCCATCCAATATCATGTAATAATATGCTTAAACTTGAAAATATTTATTGCTCACCTTTTCTTTGGTAAATTAAATAAAATATGTTATTATTTCATATAGAAAACATTTAAAACAGATTACAAAATTACGTGATGGATTAAAATTAAAATAATAAAAAACAAATAATACAAAACTGTAAATTAATAAAATATTATTTTATGATAATAGTAATTTAATTTGTTTATATATGAAAAAAGTTCCTATCAATAGTTTATAATAGAGAATAAATTAAATCTTTCGTTTTAAACATTTTATTTATATGGTTAAAAATCCAATAGGATTAGTTTGAATTATTAAAAATATAAAAATGTTATAAAACTTAGTTATATTTTTTTAGATATTAAGCTATGATAAGTAAAATTTGTTGGTATAAGTGTTCTTAAATTATTAATTACTTAAATTTTAAGGTAAAAATACAAGGGCAAAATGAAGAAATGCTTTTAACAGCATGTGAGCAGTTTTTGGGGAAACCCAAGCAGGAGATTCATGAAATTGCATTGCATACTCTTGAAGGTCATCAACGAGCAATTATGGGTTCTATGACTGTAGAGGTTTGTTTATTTAAAAATGTCTTCATCATATATATAAATAAAATAATATATGAAATATAAATTAGGTATTTTGCTAAGTCTTAAATTTTAAATCAAGATTTAAAATAAATTTCTATTGAATCACGTGAGTTTGTTGTTAATAAAATAAATGATCTTCTTCCCAGTTTTAATTTAGATTGTTTTTACTTAAATTCTTATTTTACAAATTCCATAAAATGATTTTTCTTTTCAAAAGAGTTTACCTTGGTTCAGGCGCGTATCCAGAATTTTATTTCGGGAGGGGCTGAAAAAAAAATTATCAACATAGTCACACAATAAAACAAAAAAGTGGGTAAGTGGATGTCGCTCTGCTGTACAGTAGGTTACAAGTGGGTCACTGTAATGGATGGTATAAAATTTGAATTCAATGATATAATATCATTGTATAAGAAAAACGATTCTAAGCGAAAACGGTCAGTCAGCCTATGATATTACTAAGTATATTTGATGATATTATTGTGAATAAAGTAATTTATATATTTACCTATTTACGTGGACCATTGTTTTAAATTTTCAATCCTTAACTATGAATGTTGAACACTTTATACATTTTTAATTACAAAATATTTATTACATTTTGTCAAAATTCGAACTTTAAATGATTATAAGAAAAAATTGTGCCTAAGTATTTTTAATATTCTTCAACTGCTATTGTAACAATATAGCAGGAGTCTTGTATTAAATTTTCAAGCTTTTTTACCCAACAACTAAAGTTTTATTGACATTCATATTTTTTGGATTTTCTTGAAATTTCAGAGGGGGGCTGCCAGGACCACCCCCGTAAATACGCCCCTGCCTTGGTTGTAATTTTGTTTAGTTTATTATTTATTTTTGATCTCTTGCAAAAATCTTTCATAACTGACAACTTTATACAATTTTTATACGGTTCTTATATTTTTGTTCTGGTATCCCAATTATCAACACATTTTTTAGAATGAATTTTTTTTTAAATTTAATACCATCCTAGATAATAAGTTGACTTCATACAGTTGATATTTTATTGTAGAGTTTTCTTTTTTTCTTTTTCTTTTATTTCAGAGTTTAAAACCTCTTGTAGTTGTTTTGAAAACCCATCAAATTGACCACTCATAAATATTACTGAGTCTGTTAAATCAGATAATGTCAGAGCCCCCAAAATGTTGCTCTTTTCCATATTTGTGTTATTAACCGTAATTGTCTTACGAATTACACTTTGCACAGCACCTCTTATTCTTAAGTTGAACATTCCATTTTTTTAATACTGATGCTCTGAGACTGGCATAGGCAAATTGAAAAAATTTCTTTATAGTTCAACATCGGCCTTCTCAAGGGGGGGATATAGGGGATAGATCCCTCCATTGCCTTTTTTTTAGTGTTAAGTTTCCTCCACCCCTAGGTTCACTTTGAATTAATTTGTATATCCCCCCCAATGAAGAATGCCAGGAACGCCCCTGTAGTTCAAAAATTTTATATCATCCCCTTGAAAAATACTAAGCAGAGCATTTTTGTTTAAAAGTAAATTTATATTGATGGATTCCACATAAGAACATCGAAACACAAATATTAAAAACAACCAAAAACATACCAATAAACAACCTACTACTTTGCTCATACTAATGAGAATTGATAAACATTTAGTAAGAATATGAGTCATACATTTTTTTCCTACAATTAATTTTCAAATTTCCTATTAGACATTTGTAATGTTAAGAAAAATATAGTAGGTAATCAGCTATTAACCATACAAGAATAATATAATTAACATAATGTTAGTTCTATATCTTAAAAAGAAAATTATATATTATAATGAATATATCATTTTCATTACTAACTATTAAGTCAATTTTTTTTTTTACAAAAATTCTAAATTAATATATAATAATATTGTCTACATTGTTAATTTAAAAATAATAAATTAATTTCAGTATAAAAAATTATTAAGTTATTACTGAATAATGCTTTAAACTCCGGCCCACGAGAGAACATTACCGTCTCGCACATGTAGATTAATGGCAGTGACCGGTCTGAGGCACAATTTCCTCCACTTGTGCCACGGCGGTATATGTTATAATATATATAAATTATTATGTTGAGTATTGCCGAACATACCGAACATTAACGAACCTTTATTGTTGAGTAGGGAATGCACTGGATCGGAAGCAACACAGTAATGTTCTCTCGTGGGCCGGAGTATAGTGTAAATTATATTAGATTTAGGATAATTTACATTCAAGTTATTCTGTTTAATCATTTAAAACGTAGAACTTTTTAAAATGTATAATTATTTAAACATTGTATAGTTTAAGAACTGTGCATTTTTATAATTTAACAATTTTTTTAATTTTAGGAAATTTATAAAGATCGTAAAAAGTTTAGTAAACAAGTATTTGAAGTAGCATCTTCAGATTTGGTTAATATGGGTATAACTGTTGTTTCATATACAATAAAAGATATACGAGATGAAGAGGTAAGATATGTTTACATTAAACATTTTTAAACTGTTTTAGTTAGCACAGTAGTAGATTTTATTTGTTTTGTTTATAATTTGTATACTTTGTTATTGCTGCTCAAAATACAATATTAAAATTTTTATTTGTTTCTAAGGTAAACAATTTTACAGTACCTATTCAGGCTATTTATGTTTAAAACGTCCAATAAACATAGTTTAACATAGTAAAACAATTTTGACCATCAATATATTATATTATTTACAACTTATTACTAGGGCTAATTTAAATGCTCTAACAATGATCTGTATTTACTCTGTACACTATTTTCATATTTTAGTAAATTAATTGCATAATTAATTACTATATTTAGGGTTATCTTAGAGCTCTTGGGTTGGCAAGAACTGCGGAAGTAAAACGTGATGCTCGTATCGGAGAAGCTGAGGCAAAAAGAGAAACAACAATTAAAGAAGCAATGGCAGAAGAAGAAAGAATGGCAGCCAAGTATTACCATTTTCATATTATGATTATAAAAAACTTGTTTTAAAAATATTATTCAATCAATATTGTTTCACAGATTGATCAATGATACAGAAATTGCCAAAGCTCAAAGAGATTTTGAACTTAAAAAAGCAGCATATGATGTAGAAATTCAAACAAAGGTATATTATCAAAAATGTAAATTATAAATATATATTTATGTTGACTTGATGTAAAAAATATATATATATATATATTTACGTACTCAGAAATTAGTAGTTTAAATAGGTGTTAAATTGCTTTGTAGTTGATTAAATTTTCTTATACCAGTTTTGTTTTATATTGTAAATAAATAGTAATATTTTTAAGGTCAGTTGAAATTGTTATGATAGTAAATTGTTATGATAGTCAAGATTCTTACTGTTGTATTGAAACAGTTTGTTAATATTTTTTAAGTTAACCATTTTTAACTTTTTTATTCTTTAACACATTCAATGCGTCAAATAATTAGTTGCGACACGTTCGATACGTCACGAAATATATCGATGTTTCGCTAGGAGCGTGCCACTAATACGGACATTTTGTATATTTGTATATTGTATCAACAAAATAAGTTATTTATAAACGGATTGGACTGAAATAACAAGAATTTTCTGTGCAGAGGCGTGTGTAATAATAAAAACATTACTGTAGTGCGTCAATATTTTATAGCACATTTAATTCAACAGACCTGATGTCGGCTATATCCGACAGGCGCACCCGTTCAGATACCTACGCGTCGGCTATATCCGACAGACGCACCGTAAAAAAACCAGTCCGTCGGCTAAAGCCGACAAACGCAGCGAATGTGTTAAGCTGCGTTATTCAGCATACATTCTTGAAACCACCTCATAGTATTTTAATTAAAACAAACAACATTTTATGTCAACCAATCGTTAAATCATATTTTAAAATAAAAATGTATCATGTGATTCAAAACATAAAAAAATTAAATTTACCAACAATCCTCATTAAATTTACAATTTGATGAATAATATATATATATGGAAATCAATAACAGATTAGGAGAATTAATTCAGTTAAGGAGTTTTTATAAATTCTTCAAAAATAATTAATTTAATGTAACCAGTATGTATACTCATCATTACAAATAATATTTTTGAAAGACTGAACTATATTTATATTCTTATGTTGACAAAATAATATATTATGTAAAGGCAATAAGAAATCGAGTTACATCTAAGAGTATCACAATTAATTGAAAAGAAGCCTAAATTTATGCTACCCAACTAAATGTTATATTATAATATGTTTATTATACAGTTCATTTAAGCTATTTGGTACTAATCAGGTTTATCCTAATAATATACAGACTAAACAGTAAAGTATTGTGTTCTCTTAATTAAATAAGAAAAAATATTTGGTTTCCTAATATTCATATACTCAAGTATTTAAATATTTTAGAAAGCTGAAGCAGAATTAGCTTTTGAACTTCAAGCTGCAAAAACAAAGCAACGTATAAAAGAGGAACAAATGCAAATTGATGTTGTTGAAAGAACACAACAAATTGCTGTCCAAGAACAAGAAATTCAAAGGCGAGAACGTGAGTTAGAAGCTACTGTAAGAAGACCAGCAGAAGCCGAGAAATTCCGGTAATATAATATTTGAACTAAAAAATGTTAGTTGTATTATAAACTATTATAGAGGGGTGATTTAAGACTTTATGTGTTGTTTTCAGAATTATTTTTGGATAGCAATGTAGTATTCAGAAATATTTATATTTAATGAGAATAAAGTTTGTAGCTTTGGTATAGCTGCTTAGGTTCTAGATCTCAATCATCACAATTAGAAATACTATAGATTGCTCACTGACTGGTACTTTAGAGGTTATTACTGCAATATTTATTTTCTCAGTTTGACCAATTCCCAACAAAGCAAATATGCGTTTAGCAGAACAAATATTGTTTTTTTGGCTTTAATATTATAATGTTTTCCATATGACTGTATCTATGCTGTTAGTTGCATGTAGAGCGGGCAATTGATATCACTTAAAAACTTGCTCAGTACAATCAAGTTTAGGATCATGTAAAACTTGATTATGAACCATAAGATAATAATAAAAAAATTTTTCTTTTTGATAATTCAATACAGGTAACCTTTAATGAGTAAAATATAAGGTGCACCATCATGCAAATTATCATTGTACTAAGTCTAAGTGCAAGAAACTAGCAGAGTGCACACATAATATGAAACATAAAAACTGCACTAGTTATGAATTGATATTCCATACAATTATATGAAACATAATAATTACAAAGTGCAGTAATATGGAAAACAATATTATAGTGAATTATAATTATCAAATTTAAAATTAAGAACATTATCTGTGTTTGCAGAGTTGGACTGGCCCGGACCGCTAGTCCGCAATTGCGGACGGGGCCCCGGCTTATTTATGGTAATTGGGGGCCCTGATTTTGTACCTATTACTATTATTATTATTATTCGTTTAAACTTTAAAGGAAATAGAAATACAATTTTTTTTTTCAAATCAGGAAACGTATTTTTGTTAACAATCTTGAGAAGTTCTTAATAGTTATTAAAATAATGACATTTTCATTCTACGAATTTAATAGCTGTCTATATACAAATATGTATCATTAATTATAGTGTAAAGTTGTTGTGACTATTAAAAGGAAACGCACCTGCATATTATGTTGTCTCCGTCTGTACACGTACGGCATAGTAAAAACGTTTTGGCGCGGGAAATAACCGAGAAGGCTACAGTCATAACAAAGAATTTCACCACATTTATAGGAGAACTTTGACTATGCAATATCGTTTTTTATTTTTTTGGTATCACTTATACGAAAAATATTCTTATTGTTTCAAAGTCCATTATTATTTGTGTTTTTCAAACTTTAATAACTTTTTTTGAAGTTCCGATAACGAAAAAATATTAAGTTCTCTTTTTTATATACCTAGTGAAAATTTCGTTTCTTAATAATGACTGTAGCGATCTCAGTTCCCTCCCTCTCAAAACCGTTTTTGCTGTGTTGTACATTTAAAAGACGGAGAGACACATTCGGCTGGAACGTCCTCTTAAATTATATTATATTATATTTATACGGGCGTATGCGTAAGGCTTGTTATCACTGATTGTAACTAAATTATTATTATATTATATTTGGATTTTAACCCATTAGCGCCGAAATTTTTTATTTTTTTTTTAAAATTTTTTTGTTGGTCAAATTCCCAATGAGAAATTAGCTTCTAAAAATAGGTCTACCTATGTTGCCATATGGCAACGCACGGCGCTAATGGGTTAAGTATAATTGTACTCGTACACAATTTGACACAATTTGAATCGGTGTTTTTCTTTATAATGTTTGATGTCACAGCCAGTGTATAGGGCGTAATTTGGGGGTTGGATGCCTGGATAGGAGGGATTTCCCCTGTCTGATAATAAAAACAGTCCGATGGGTCTCTATTATCGTTAATTTACTTAGGATCTGTCTTAGTATTTGAGAATATGGTCAATATAAATTCTATATTGAAAATAAAGTAAAACTAGTCATGTGGCGTGCTAGTAATGATCAACTATGGGTGCAGGCAGGCATAAAAGTATAGAATTTGAACATTGCTGTACGGCCACCGACGAGCATATAGCGGTTAACGTATATGTAAATTATGAGTAAATTATAACTATTTGAAAAATACTCATGACTTGTGCATACTATTTTTATAACTTCAAAGTCTTGACAATAATGATTGGTGCCATCTAACCTTGTTTCACCAATGTGTTAAAACTGGCCATGGTGGTGGCATTGGGATACTTTTAATAATTTATTAACATTTTATATTTGTTTATGAAAATAGACTAGAAAAATTGGCTCAAGCAAATAGAACTCGAATTATATTGGAAGCTGAAGCTGAAGCTGAAACACTCAGGCTTAAAGGAGAAGCAGAATCATTTGCCATCCAAGCAAAAGCCAAAGCTGATGCAGAACAAGCAATGAAAAAAGCAGAAGCATGGAAAGAATACAAAAAAGCTGCCATTATTAATATGGTTCTCGAAGCATTACCAAAGGTGATTTATAAGAGAATATGTACATTGTAAAATTGATATCGCATAAATGCTTCAATATTATACTCATAAAATTATGTCTATTTTTTTACTTTAATTTTAGCTTGCTGCCGAAGTTGCAGCCCCTTTCGAGAATACCAAAAAGGTTACAATGGTGGCCAGTGGTGATGGGGATGTGGGGGCTGTTAGATTAACAAATGAAATTATTCAAATTGTTAATAAAGTACCAGAAATGGTTACTACTCTAACTGGAGTTAAAATAAATGATGTCATGTAAGTCTTTTGGAATTAAGTAAAACAAAAATATTAAAACTGTCATTAATCATAATATGTAAATTATTAATTAAATTTAATCATTTAATCATTTGAGATAGATTTATTAGACATATCAAACTCTATTAAATATGAACACACGAATAAGATATTTGTATATGTATATTATATTTTGTATATAATATATAATTCAAATTCAAAAATAACATCTTCCGAAAAATAATTAAATTAAAATAAATCAAACGCTAGTTTTATAAATTGAACTATTTAAATTATAAACAAAATAATAGATTTATTTATTATATTAGTTTTAACCTAATTAATTAAAGTGTAACACATGATTATTATATGTATATTTATTTATTTTATCTTGTAACAGGAATATGTAAGAAAATGGGCTGGAAATTCGATCAATTTGTTAGTATCATTATTTTTTTTATGCTTATGACCTTTTTTGTCTTCCTATGCTCCTCAAGTAATAAAGATTTATATTATTTACCCTTTATAATTAATCAATTGCTTTATATCTTACATTATGGTAGGTAGGTTTACCTTTTATATTAATTTTCTTATATCATTACTATATTTTAATTATAAACTATTATTTATTATTTCTATTATTATTAAACATAAACAATTTTACATTATATATTTTTCTTCCAATAAAACATAAAATGTATTTATTTATTATATATAAAGAATATGTCTGATGCTTTTTTATTGCTTTCTATAAACTTTTAACAGGTCATGGTACAAAAAAATCTTACAATTTTGTTTTGCTTAAAGGTACTAGCAGTGGTTGGGAATAGCATGTTAATTGTAGTGACACTACTTTGTTTGTAATAAGCTACAATACACCTAATGAAGCGATATACTAAATACATTTTTTTTTGAGAATAGCTGTAGCGTTGGTGCGCCACAAAAAACAGGAACGTCTTGACCACTGGTTACTAGTAATACAAATTAAACAAGATATAATGCACTAAAATTGTACATTTATATATACTCAAAATAAAAATATACTTAACATTATTTATTTATTGTTTTTTTTTTTTTATTAAATTGGTTATGTTTTTTACCTTTTGTTTGTTTTATTTAAGTATGTTGACTTTAAGAGTTATTATTTATCTTATTTATATCAACTATGCTTCAATGGAGCCCATATGCTGTATCCAATTTTGGTGGTCAATGTAAAATTAAAACATGTGAGTGGTTCTCGACTGGTGTGTAGTGTATAACCGTGTGTGTGTCGCCAAACATATTTTTATTTATAATATTGTACATGTTCAAAGTATAATTAATATAATATGTCATTATTATGGCGTTATGGCGTGATGGTATAAACCACAGATTAGAAAAAGAATTGTGAAGATAGTCTCCTTCTCAATTTACAAATAGATTTATAATTATTACTTTTTCAAAAATCCATTAATTGTTGTAAGGATGTTACCATTTTTATGGATCCAAATTAGTGCGTTGTTGTAAAAAAAAAAAGGTCGATAAGCACAACGCTATAGTTACATAAATTTAAAATTCCCCACTGATTTACATTAATAGTTTTATTTCATTCAATTTTAAAACTTAAAAGTTAGGTTAGGTCAGATTATTTCAAATTAGTTTTCAATGGTTGCATAGACAAGTATATATATGATGGTTAGTTAATATGACATGTATTAGTTATAATGACATAAATATTGTATATTGAACATCTTAAACCATTCAATACTTATTAAAAATTAAAACCAGCTGTGTCATACTTACTACTAAACTTATTTTCAACAAATAGGTACCCCTTTTGTGGCTGCCATCAAAATATTAGGTACCTACCTAGTGTAATAATATTGTAAATCTAGTATCATAAATACATAATTACATATAGTACATAGGTACTACATACTTGATTAAAAAATTAGGTACATTGATGTAATGTCTTATGATTATTGAATTATCGGCTTTAATGTTTTTTAAAGTCAGCACAGTTGTAGTCACTGTTTTATTCGTACTTTGTTGTTTTAATGATTCAAAAGGTTGTACTTAATAAAGTGTACACAGTTTAATTATAATTTCTGAACTTTATTATTTAGTTTAAAGACAGACATTAGACACAACATTTTAATATAATAATACACATTTTTTAATAATTAATCATTGATTGATATCACAGTTAAAGACGACAGAACATGAGAGTGTGTGTGGGTACTGGGTACAGTCGTACCACATTCAACATAATAATAATCATAATAATACATTATATCACATCTCTCTTATTCAGATTAATTAATAATTATTAATTTTAATTCAAACAACAAAAATAAAAAATAAAAAATAAATAATTAACAATTGAACAATACAATCAACTTGATAGACATTATATTTAATACATTTGCAATTGATAATCATAATACTTCATAATACAAATTTAATAACTAAAAAATAAATAATTAACAATTGAACAATACAATCAACTTGATAGACATTATATTTAATACATTTGCAATTGATAATCATAATACTTCATAATACAAATTTAATAACTAAAAAAATAAAAAATAAATTAATAAACATATCCAAAGAAATATTAAGACTAATTATTAAAATACTTAGAAACATTGATCAATTACAAATACCTTTTGGGTGTTTTAATTACTCTACCTCTTTTGGTTCTTTTTATACCATCATTAGTACTTTCATTTTCTTTTTCAATTCCATTATTCACAGTTTCAGTATCATTTTCATTATTTTCATTTTCAGTCTCATTATTAACAGTTTCAGTATCATTTTCAGTCTCATTATTCACAGTTTCAGTATCATTTTCAGTCTCATTATTCACAGTTTCAGTATCATTTTCAGTCTCATTATTCACAGTTTCAGTATCATTTTCATTATTTTCATTTTCAGTCTCATTATTAACAGTTTCAGTATCATTTTCATTTTCTCCAACGTCATTATACCCATTTTGTGTTCTCTTTTTTAACCACTGTACGTTTCTTCTCACTGTATTTCCATTTTTTGTTTTTATTTTATAGCTTCTTGGCTCTTTTAATTTTTCTAAAATTTCACCCTCACTCCATGTTTTATTAAACTTATCCTGTACATAGACCAATTGTCCCTCAACAAATGTTTCTACTCCTTTCTTTGCTGTCCTATCATAGAAATATTTTTGTTTTTCTTTATTTTGTAATATTTTATCATGACACGACACTACTTTGGGTTTGAATTTACTTTTATCAACTAGCATCGTGCTCCTTAATTCTCTGCTTTGTAGTAGTTGGGCCGGACTATATTGTAACCCAGAGATTGGAGTATTTCTGTATGCCAATAGATAGAAATCAATATCCATCCCTGTGTGGTGACTTTTTTTTAACATATCTTTAGCGATGCTAACCCCTCGTTCAGCTAGACCATTGCTCTGAGCATAATGTGGGCTTGATGTTATAATTTGGAAATTCCATTTGTTTGAAAATTCCCTGAACTTAAAGCTACCAAATGGCATATTGTCAGCAATTAGTTGTCTAGGGATACCTAATCTACCAAACAATTGCTTAAGGACTTCTATGACTGCGTCACTTGTTTTATTAAATAATTTTAATATTTCGATCCATCTTGAATAATAGTCAACAATGACTAAATAGCTCTTTCCCCCAAACTCTGCTATATCAATTGCGATTTTATAAAACGGAATGTCTGGAATTGTGTGAGATAGCATTGGTTCCTTAATTTTCGACCTACTAAATTTTAAACACACAGCACAAGACAGTATATAGTTTTCAATTTGTGTATTTATACCAGGGAAATAGAATAATTGTCTAGCTCTGGCCTTAGTTTTTGTGATCCCTAGGTGGGTTTCATGCAATTTATGTATTATGTATTTTCTTAATGTTTTTGGAATTAAAAGCCTAGATTGATAATATAATAGTCCCTCGCTACTTATAATTTCATTTTTTAACTTCGAATAATGTTTGAGCTCACCATCCTCAATAATTGTCCTAGGCCACCCAGATTTACAATAAACAAGTACCTTTCCAAGTACCTCATCATCTTGGGTTTTCTGTATAAACTCCTGTTCTTTTGAATTTTTATATGCTAGCTCAATATCACACACTGTATGAATGACATCAGTTAGACTTTCCTCACCAATACTACTCCTTTTAATAAAATTTCTGCTTAAAAGGTCAGCAATGTACATATAACGACCTGGTAAGTATTGCAACTCTATTTCATAAATTAAAAGCTTAAGTCTGAGTCTTTTTAAACGGTTATTCGGAATTTTATGAATATCTTTCTTCATAATGGACACAAGAGGTTGGTGGTCAGTATAAATTTTAATTTTTTGACCATAAATTAATGAGTGGAACTTTGTACAGGCAAATGATATTGCCAACATTTCCTTTTCTATCTGAGCGTATGCAACCTCTGTTTCACTTAAACATCTTGATGCAAAATGTATAGGGCTTTTCATCTGTGAAATACAACAACCTATCGCTTTCTCGGATGCATCACACTGAATTTCCAATCCCGATTTGCTATCAAAATTTTTTAATGTAGGTATTTTACAAAGAAATTCTTTAAGTTTGATAAAAGTCAAATGACACTGTTTATTCCAATTCCACAGAGCATTTTTTTTTAATAATTCCCTAAATGGGGTGACAATTTCAGACAAGTTTGGTAGAAATGATCTTAGGTAATTAATCATACCAAGAAATGACTGAAGTTCTTTTTTATTTGTAGGTTCATTCAATTCCTGAATTACCCTAATTCTATCAGGATCAGGAGTAACACCAAACTCATTGAATATGAAACCTAAAAATTTGACCTCACTAACACAGTATTGAAATTTTTTAGCATTGAATTTAACATTAAACTTACGGGCATTTTCTGTTACTTTTTCCAATATTAAATCATGCTCAGACTTACTATCAGAACAAATCAATATATCATCAAAGTAAATCTGAACACCTGCGATTTCCCCAAAGTATTTCACCATTAATTTTTGGAATATTTCAGGAGCCACAGACAAACCAAATGGTAATCGTTTAAACTTATATGAGCCAAAAGGACTACTAAAAGTGCATATATTACTAGAGACCTCATCTAACTCGCAATGATAAAAACCATCTTTTAAGTCTAACAAACTATAGAATTTTTTATTAGCAAGTGCAGGCCTTATTTCTTCAAGCGTAGGTATTTGGTACATCTCTCTTAATATATTAGCGTTAATGTCCTTCGGATCTAGACATATTCTCAATGTGCCATCAGGTTTTTCAACAACTACTAGGTTGCTCTGCCATTCACTTGGTTCACTGCATGGTTCTATCAACTCTAGTTTAACCATTAAATTTAGTTGCTCCCTTAATTTATCAAATATCTTGATTGGCACTCTCCTAGGTGGGTTACAAACCGGATTTGGGTTATTTTTTAATTTAATTTTAATCCTGTCTGGGAATTTTCCAATACCCTCAAATATCTCTTTATTCTTTTGTATGAACTTTTCCTTTTCACTTTGTTTATTTAAAATATTTAATTCATTAACCTCAGATAATTTATAATTTAATGACAAGCATGCCTCAAAACTCAAAAGTGGTAACCCATCATAATCAACTACTTCAAATACTCTTTTTATTTTCTTACCCTTATGCTCTAATTCAAATAAAGTATTTCCCTTAGAGTTTGTGGTATAACCACCAAATGATTTAATTATTACATTACTTTTATTTAGATTTAGACCATTAAACTGTTTAAATAATTTATAAGACATTACATTTAGCTCAGCCCCAGTATCCAATTTAATTTTTTGTTCAACACCATTCATTCTAATATGATCAATCCAAGATTTTTTAATTTCTCCATATGCGAGCTCTGTATTCATGATCTTTACCTCCAAAGAATCTATTGAAAATTCCATTTCTAAGTTATCAACTTGATTTTCTAATTTACTTTTTCCTGATCTACACTTGTTTCTAAAATGATTTAGTAAACCACAGTTACTACAATTTTTTTTATATGCAGGGCATTCCCTTACTTTGTGCGATTTACCACATCTATTACAGTCATTTATATAATTTACACCCTTTACATTTGGTTTATTACAATTATTCTTACTTGATACCCTATCTGAGCTGCTATACTGATTTGACTGAGTTTTGTTTGACCATCCTTTGCCACTGCCAGTCTGTGTTGTCCTCTGCTCGAAATGTCTTCCTTTTGTAACTTGATGTTTCTTTTGACCATCTTCGACGTTGTAGACTAATTTGACTTCATCCTGTACTAGTTTTCTGTTGATCTCCATTTGTTCTTTTGCCTTGCAATGGCGTACTACCTTTTCCAGAGACAGGTCATCACGTAGCAATTGTGCTTGCAAGTCTCGATCAGCAACACCAAGAATGATTTGCGATTTTACTAATTTATCCTCGCAATCCCCTAGCTCACAAGACTTTGCCTGATCTCTCAGATCCGAATAAAACTTATCAAAGTTTTCGCCTTCCAATTGCTTTCTGGTAAAGAATTTATATAACTCCATTGTTTGATTTCTTCTAGGGATGCAGTATTCCTCCAAGGCCCTTAATACTTCAATGACAGTATTCTCTTTAGGCTTCAATGTGTTATAAATTTTTAATGCTTCAGGGCCCAACAAATTTAATATTATAGCTACCTGTGTCGCCGGTCTTTTCAAATGCGATTCAGTTGCGTCGAAGTAAATCTGAACACTTTGCCGGAACGTGCGGAAGTTTTCGGCCAGATTGCCGGACATTATTAGTGGATTTGGCTTATTAAATTCCATTTTGACTTATTATTTATTTTATTTAGCCACACTCATCAACACCAACCACATGCAAAAGTTACAGATTTCATCCATTTGAATCCAAACAACTACAAGATTAACGACTGCGCCATGTTTTATTCGTACTTTGTTGTTTTAATGATTCAAAAGGTTGTACTTAATAAAGTGTACACAGTTTAATTATAATTTCTGAACTTTATTATTTAGTTTAAAGACAGACATTAGACACAACATTTTAATATAATAATACACATTTTTTAATAATTAATCATTGATTGATATCACAGTTAAAGACGACAGAACATGAGAGTGTGTGTGGGTACTGGGTACAGTCGTACCACATTCAACATAATAATAATCATAATAATACATTATATCACAGTCACTACTCAGTATTATTAAAAATATATTATACTGAAAAATATTATTAAAATAGGTACTTTCAGACATTTTTATTTTTACTGTATAAGTTCAGTAACAATTTGTATAGTAAAATGTAGAACTTAAACTGACTTAGCTACATAGGTCCGAGGTCGTCAACCTTTTGAGACGAAAGAGCCAGCAGTTATGATTTACAAAATTTCCCAGTTTTTAATAAGCCACTACAATAGTTCATTTCAATATTGTAGTATTAAATACTGTAAAAATTATTGATATAGTACCTACCTACTATATATATTTGATTTCGATTTTAAAATAAACGACTTTAAACACGAAGTAATATTTATTAATATAAATATTTTAGCACAAATTATATTCAATATTTTTTATAAAACAAAATATTGTTTTTAATTTAAAAAAAAATTCATTTTTGCATAATATGGAGCCGGAGAGTCACAACTTTAGATCAAGAGAACCACACGTGTGACGTGCTCGCGAGCCGCAGGTTGAAATGGTAACATATTTCATATTGTGTTGAAGCATATTGAACTTTTTTTATTATAAACTGCTTAGATATCAGGTAGGAATCACGCGTAGAAGTTGTCAGAGCTGTGCCATGGGGGTGACAAATGGGGCAAGTGCCCTAGGGTGAAAAAAGTTGTAACATTTTTAAGGGTGGCAAATGTTTAAATATATATGTTTAATACCCAGTTATTCAGTCTACGCCGTAATCCTACTCCACCACCGCTAATTTTTAACCACGAGCCAATCTCATGGAAGCCATCCGTCAAGTACCTACCTTGGTGTAACGTTGGACAAAAGATTAACCTGGTGGCCACACCTCTTATCTAAACTTCAACAAGCCTATCAACGTTTAGGGATGCTCTTCCCTATCTTAAACAGAAAGTCTTCCCTACAAAAAATTAAAAAACCTTTCCCTACTTATTTATAAGCAAGTACTACGTCCATTAATCACTTACGCCTGCCCTATTTGGGGTAATTGCGCACAAACTCATATCAAAAAACTGCAGATATTTCAAAACAAAGTCTTAAGAATGATAGCAAACGCTCCATGGTTTGTAAGAAACTCAAACATACACAAAGACCTTAAAATTTCAACTATTCAAGACCACATCAAGCTCACGGCTGTGAGCTTCTTCGAATCCATCCATAGGTCAACAGGCTCAATGCACTACCACATCAACACCAGACCACCTCCACAGCGCCGTCTCAAACGAGGTCGCCCGCATGACCTAATTCCTTAAGACACTATCTAATTAATTCTCTAACTACTGTTATCATCTAATGTAAAATTGTAACTTATTTATTTATCGCACTTAATACGCCAAAATGTATTTTATCTTTCATCTCTAGGTATAGATAGCGTAAGCTAGGAATACCTTATTGTAATAATAAATAAAAAAAAAAAAAAAAACCCAATATGCGGGTGCCAATGTTATCATGGCGCTGTAAGTTGTAGAACTAAACTGTCTAAACGTATTAATTATACCTACCTACTATTAAAAAATAGGTTAAATTTGTTTTTACTCCGTAGTTGTTCAAAATAAGTACCTACCTAGGTACCTTAGGAACTTTATTATAATATTATCAACGCATAGCACCCACCATAAAAAATCATAGATCTGCCCAGTGGCGTACTCAGGGGTAGGGTTCTAGGGTTCTGATTTTGATACATACAGATCAATTGTTGGTCTTTTTTAACAGATATAAAAGGATATAGCAGGTATAAAATACATTTTTCAATATGGCAAAAACGTCGATAATCATAGTTTCTGTTTTTTTTGGCTGATTTCGAACATTGCTAATAAGCGTCTGCCATAATCGATGGTATATCCATCAGTTATTACTACGTTTGTTACGGCCCCAAGAGGCTCTATAGATGACCCGGTTAAATACCGTAAATATAGACTAAATTTGAGACTAATTATAATTTGTTGTATAAAAACTGTAAAAAAAATAATGCAAATTATTTACTCAGATAAAACCCTAACCGAAATAAAATCCTGCGTACGCTACTGGATCTGCCACTACCAACACCACTATCATAGATCTATTTTATAAGGTCGGTGGATTTTACTACTGAATTATCATTAAGAGGGCGCATATTGTGTTACCTCCGTCTTACAAGTGCGTAACATTGCAAATTTAAACTCAGCGGATCACGTTTAGTGATCTGTTAGCTTAAAAATTAAGAGTGAATTTACTTATTGTGAAACTTTATGGTTATAGATTATAATTTATACTTACCTATGTGTGAGTGTGTGACTGCGATCGTATGTTAGTTTTTTAGGATTATTCAGTTTTTAAGTGAGTTATGAGTATTTTTAATTTATGCTATATTATATAGGTACTCACAACTTGTAAACAATTTAAATAGGTATCGTAAAAAACCGACATACAAACAAAGATAATTACCATCAAGTTTCATAATAGGGCCGATTCACTCTAATTTTTAAGCTGGCGGAGCTAAACGTGATCTGCCGAGTGTAAATTTGCTATGTTACGCACTTGTAAGACAGAGACAACACATGATGATGTGGCGTTCTCATAATATATTAAACTTATATTTTAAGCTTAATTAATTTCGATGTGACAATGTGTATTTTTCAGGGATAGGTAGGTACCTACTTATACAGTACAACCGTAGCTTAAAAAAACGACTTAACATAATATAATATATCTATAGGCTAAGGGCTTAGACTTAAGAGCAAAAGCGATAAACGTTGGCAACGTTTGATAACAGTGAAATTCTGTCTGCCCGTTTGATAAAATCGTTTATATTTTAACTTTTCACTTTTCAGTAGGTATTTATTGCAGCGTGGCGTGTCACGTGTCGTTTAGGTCCTTATGATGATACGCTACAGAGGACAATTATATTACTTTCAAATCCACTAGGATACCTATAGGTACACATCTGTGGATAGCACTCTCAAGTCTCAAGAACTTCATCTGTTCTGAGACGACCAGCCGAACATAACGCACGTTATCGCTTTGTTATTGGAAACTAATGACCATAAATATAATATTTCCACTTTCACCCACCCCTTACACAAAAAAAAACCCTGTACGGAGGTAATCACAACAGCTGGACACTTTGGGAAACCTTTTGTGTATTGAATACCTGCGTCGTATATTATATAGTTAGGCCTTAGGCCAGTTAGGGTTGATTCGGAGTACCTATAGTTAATCCTTAATTATTAATAATATAGGACAAATAGGTTCAAGTTCCAAAGGTATAGCTTAGATAATATCGTATCCTATCCAGGATTATAAACGATCGTTATACCTCGGTATATATTATAATATGTAAGGAAATATGAACATGCTGGATTCTCGAAAATATAACCCCGGATATCTAGACCCCGAAAAAATAACACTGCGAAAAAAGAACCTTGGTAAATATAACCCCAAAAATTTAAATTAATCTAAATATTTTGAAAATGACATTGCGCATGATTGTACCCATAGAATAGATTAACCTAAATTGACCTAAACCTGATTGTACCTAAAATGTATAGTATAGGTACCTACGTATGGACGTCAGATCGCCTGTTGTGTAAAGTAAACTTTCAAAAATGTCAAGATACAAAGATTTTCAAAAAAAATTACCGTTTTTTAAATTATATTTTCTGTTTTTAATTATAATACAGGTATCCAATTTTTTTCGAGTCGGTATTGAATTTAATATATACCGGTTTCCAATTTTTTTCGGTTTCGATTTTGATTTTGTGTTCTCAGTTTCGGTTTTATAACGGTTTATACCAGTTTCAAGCCCTGCTCTATTAACTGAGAGAAAAAGTAAATTGCAAATTAGGGAGGGGGGCTTAAAAGCTTTTTGTGACAATGAATAAAAGGAAACTGAGATAAAAAGGGGCACCAAAATGTGTGTACCTAGGGCGCCAAAATCGTAAATACACCATTGCAAGGCAAAGTTAAAAGTCACTGATAATGCTGTAATGATTACCACTCTTCATTACTAATAGTAATACTAAAAAGAGTGTCATCATCATTCATCATAATCCTTAATATATATATATGTATATCGCACTCCTGAAAGAATAGTAACACAAATCAAAATATCAAAATGTTGGGAAATCGACTTTTAATGTTTCATTATGTAATTTATTAATTATAAATAGGGCTTTTAATTAATTTTTCTTTTTTCAATCTTATATTATTCTTCATATTGCATAGTTTACTTGCACATGCTTAAAATAATAATTTAAGTAGGTACCATTTCACCTATGTGGCTACCTATGTTTTATTGTAAATCTGATTTCAGTCTGACTTGTGTCATTTTTCCAAGTAGAAATAATGACACAAGTCAGACTCAAAGCAGATTTTTAATAAAACAAAGGTGAATTGGTACTTAAATTATTATTTCAAGTATACTAATTACTAAAATATAAAGGATGAAATTCTCCAAATTTTGATGTTAATAACTCAAAAAACGTATTTTTGAGTTGTGTCCACTATTCCTTCAGGGGTGCGATATATATTATATATATATTATAATATTGTATGTACAGCCACACTGATATTTATATTGTAACAGACATCTGTGGTCATATATTCTAAAATCTTATGTCTTTAAATCT